TACAATTAGTTCTAAAGAAAGATGTGAAATCCTAGAGTCGAAAATAAAATGCTTAATAATGAACGTTAATAAACAAATTTTGCATTACTATATAAAGAGACTAAATTATTCAAAAAATATATATAGTTAATATAAATAAGTTGTTTAAAAAGCCTAGGCCTACATTAATATATGGCTATTTTAAAATGTAATAATCCAATAAATAAATAGGTGGATAAAACGGGACATGAAAAACTCTATCCCGTTTTATCCAACTCACAAGTGTCCCGTTTTGTCCGACTCCGTCACTTTTTGAAACAAACATGGTTGCTGCGTAAATGTGAAAAGAAAATTAGATAGACTGCACATAAAAATATTGGTAAATAAATGGTTTATAAAATTTAATACTCACCGGAATTTTATTCCCATATATGTAGGCAGTACAATGTAGAAAACAACGCTCGTAAATGTAGAAAATGGCAAGAAAATAGAATAAAAAAGTTCTGAGACCAACAACTTTCTATCAAATAGTGATCTCGTGACGGTACGCACCGAGAATGATATAATCACGGTCGAATAACACGTTTCTGTCGTTGTCCACTAGATAGCTGCAATAGTCTAGTCCCTAGGCGACGTATCCCGTTTTGTCCGACTATCCCGTTTTATCCAACTCTCCCCTACATATTTATTTAAAATATGACTTTTAAACGACATTTATTAATTTATTTAACAATTGTAAGTGTTTGTGCTAAATAAAACCAATAAACAAGGACCGGAGATTGGCTGAATAAGTATTCGTACAACCGATTTCAGAATCGTCAAGTTTTGTATTAACTTTTAAATATTTCCTTTTGTTAAAAATGAATATTTACCTGTTTTTTTATTGTATTTCACTAATAGATCAGATCACTAGTAGATCTGACTCATTTAAGTTTCTTTTATTTTTATTTTATTTAGTTACTTATGGTAATATATCGCTTAAAGTTCAAACTGTTTGTTTACATTTATCATAAGAAATCTATATTATATGCGATCTTTAATATATTTTTGGATATATAAAATTTTTTTTTCTTTGAAATTCTGTGTTAAATTGTTGCAATTACTTGTTTCTGTGTTGGAAATTTTTATAGGTTTTAAAATTTTAAACCCTAAATCTTTTAATGCGATTTAATTTAAGCATGACAATAAAAAAAAAGTATCCGAAATATTTTCGCAAGTTCATTTTGAAGAATCTCAACTAGAAATATATGGGAAAGATGGTAAACTTTTTTGCCAAATTTACTTTGAAATCATTTTTAAATAAGACTGATGTAATTGGCATGCAGCACATGCACAATTTTTTTATTTAAAACTTTCAACCGCTAATAAAATTTACAGCTAATTTTCAGAAGTATCTGAAAATAGTTTCCAATAAACAATGCAAACAGATGCACGCGTTTCTTTGCCGATTATCCTAGTTTATGTTAACGTCGGTTGTAGCAGTAAGTTGCCACATCTTGCAGTTCTTCATTATTAGAGGAAAAGCTTTTGCTCCGAAATGGCGGATAAGTCGGTCTCTCTAATTCAGGGGCTCTAGTTTACGTGACCAAATCGATCAAACATAAATATAACTATTAATGAGCGAGACATCAACTCGAATCGCATTTTTAATCTAATGGAGCTGCAAGCTAGTAGATATAACTGGTGTTACCTTTAAATAATTAAAACATGCCTAATTTTCTTCTAACAATGCGTAATAGTCAACATGTGATTAAAACTCGTTTTTCGCACGAAGGTATTAACAAAAATTTTTGAACGATTTTTAGGATCAGAGGCTAAATTTGCCCCTTGCACTCGCTTTCGAAATTCCAAGACACAAATTCCTTGCACAAACGGTTCTAAAATTAACAGAAGGGGATAAACTCTTCCTCTTATGATTACTCATTGTAGATGTAAATATAAAACTGATTAGATATCGTGTTTCTGGGTTATATTACAAGGCAATAAGCATTCAAAAAACTAATGCGGAAATTTTTCTTAAAATAATCTAATTCCTTCATAAGATAAATATGGGAAAACTGACATCCGCCCAACGAAAGACGGTATCATATAGAAAGTTTTAAATTGGTTTGCCTATGGATATAATTTTTGTTGCTTATTATCTTTATGCCTATTTTTAATATTTCTCATTAAATATTTCTGAGAATTGAAAATATTTTGAATCCAATAT